ATGTTGTCATTGCCAAACCCCTCGTTTTAGGCGTTCAATATGCATATGGATGCAGCTAGACGGACAAATGGGACTAATTGGGAAATTGCACTCGCTCCAGATGATATGACCACTTACTGTACTGTTACATGGGGAAGGCAATGAGCTGAACTATAATAATGTGGGCTGTGACAAGGAGGGCATGCCGTAGCGGAGCAACTGACTTGATGTTCATTGCGAGATCCCAGCCATGCCAACCTGTAGAGATCGTCCGGCAATTTGAGTGCCGTTCAGCGCTGCGATGGCATTGCAGGCGTCCGCGTAGTTCATCATTGTCACAAAAGCGTATCCCTTACACTTCGTTGTCGCAAAATCTCGGATGACCTGCGATAAAATCAAGTTATTAACAGCACTTGAAAATTTCTTATTACGGAATGGCAATCATTCAGTAACCCTCAGGACACAAAACAGAAGAAAGCAATTTTCATCCGAATTTTTGAAAACATTACAGTGTGTGCGACGTAGGATGCAATGACCGGCATAAGGCATGATAATTTAGTACTTGGTCTAAATTCTTGCAGAAGTGGTACGCAGCGGAAAATGGCGAAAAATCAAAGTGAAACGGTCAAAAACCTCCAAAAAATCCTTTGTCCTACACGACTCAGGAAACATGAAGGCGGGCGGGCACGATGGGCATTCTGGTCGGTATGCTGCAGCATGATAGAGCGCTATAAGGGTACCTTCCCTTGGAAAAGGCGCCATGCCGCGCCTCCAGGCGAGTAATTATGTCTTGCTAGGCTCTCCCACGAGTTGGGAATTTCTCGTGCCGCTTGCCTTACAATGCTAGCTGTAACAAGTTAACTAATTGGGAGTACCAGTTGTTTGTTCGCAATGTCGCGACTCGGGCCTTCTCAACTACAACTTGTGAGCGTCAGGTAGAAGTTTCACCCGCTGACTTGCTGAGATCTTGGATTTGTATCTCGTTTTCGTCGACTTGACACTACATTTCAGTCACTAAATAAAAAGGGAAGTAATAGCCGAAAAATCTTATGGTTAGCATAATCTAGTTATATAGTTGTGGTGCGAATACTTCTTAAAGACAGTGAGCACGATAAATCCTCAAGACATGTATGATTAATACACCAATCAGGGCAGGATTTGACGCCCAGGCGCTGCGCTGAATCTTTTCCAAGAAAGACACCGCGATAGGACTGATATGAAGCGGCTGCGGTGCTGCATGGATATATGAGTACATACATGTGGCCGTATTTATCGCAGCGATTATTGGCACGATGAAAACGGTAAACCCGTCCGCAATTATTTTCTAAGCCGTGAGAACAAGGCTTTTTTCAGGTTTTTGACCGTTACGCTTCGCTTTCTCGCCATTTTCCCCCCATTATAAGCACCACTGCTACCATTTTGGACCGTATGAATTACCTTTCTGTTAAGCTGTTACTGTTTGACAACTGCTGTTTTCACGCCGCAGTGCGCGATACGAAAGTTATCACAAGAATGCTGAGTTGTGGGCAAAAGTCGGACCACGGACGGGATTCGAACCCGCATCTTCTGCTTACCGGGCAGTTGCGTTCCCTATTACGCTACCGAGGCCACTTTTGACCAACTCAGCTCAATGGCTATTTGTGCCATTAGCTAGTGGTTAATAGCCATTAGCTAAAAAGCCTTCAGCCTTGCGGTTCACTGCCGATATCGGCTAACCGGCTCACCACGTTGAACGTGTGAGTGCTCGAAGGCAATGGCACAAATAGCCATTGAGCTGAGTGGTCAAAAGTGGCCTCGGTAGCGTAATAGGGAACGCAACTGCCCGGTAAGCAGAAGATGCGGGTTCGAATCCCGTCATTGGTCCGACTTTTGCCCACAACTCAGCATTCTTGTGATAACTTTCGGTATCGCGCACTGCGGCGTTAAACAGCAGTTATCTAACAATAACAGCTTAAAACTTGTAAAAAGCCTTCAGCCTTGCGGTTCACTGCCGATATCGGCTAACCGGCTCACCACGTTGAACGTGTGAGTGCTCGAAGGCAATGGCACAAATAGCCATTGAGCTGAGTGGTCAAAAGTGGCCTCGGTAGCGTAATAGGGAACGCAACTGCCCGGTAAGCAGAAGATGCGGGTTCGAATCCCGTCCGTGGTCCGACTTTTGCCCATAACTCAGCATTCTTGTGATAACTTTCGCATTGATCACTCTTTTGGCTGGGTCTCTTTCTTACGTGAAAGGAACTCATCCAAAGATTCAATCAAGTGCATGTAAAACGGTTTCAAAACGAACAAACTCACTTTTACGCTGAGCACTGCTCCAAACGGTCCAAACAGTTGCCAAAGTAGACTATCCTCGGTATCCGGCCCTAAGTTGTAAGCGAAAAGGCAGAAACCGGCCGGTTCCGTGGCAGCTGCTGTCGGCGCTAATGCAGCCAGTTGTGCGGTCGCTGGTGCGGTTGCAGCAGCCATACCTACAACAAATCTCACTTGTCAAAACAAGAAGGTCTCATCAAAGGAATTACCAGAACGGAAATAATCCTGGGCGGCTAAGGAGGGATGGAACGCTTTCGAACTCTATGCTACGAAACCATGAATATTAGACATTTTTTTTACGGAACTGCCTCACCCCCTTCAGAACTTCCCTCTATTTTTAGCTAGAAATTCACATCCATTGGCTCCCAAGTCGTGCCTTGGAACTGTCCTCTAAATGCTCTTTCACAATGAAAAAGGAGGGAGTGGCCCTGGAAATAAAGCTCGTATCAGTTTGAATCTTTATAAAAGTACAGATTTCCATTGGAGTAACTTGGCACGTTGACAAAGGTTTACGAAAACCCTCTCTCCACCTGAACTATACTGCAGCTACTTATCTTCACGAATAGTATGATCCCTGGTAATGTCCCCTCAAGAGAAGACTACCATCATAGGTGGCATAATGTCGGCGAATATTAATGAACTATAACTCATTTTACCATTTGTGCACTGCGACCGTTGGAGGTGTCCTTTTTATAATAACTGAGCTTTCCTTCATGATCAACACGACTTCCGACGAAACGATAGGAAATGGTTGGGCAAAGAAAGACTTCCTCCAACTATTTAAAACCCTAGTTCTACTTAGATAACAGAATTTCCTTCAGCCCTGGTGAATTCTCATAAAATGAGCAATCAGGGCGTCGCACATTGGGGATTTTCAGTGAGGGGAGGGGGTATTTAATAGATGGGGGAGTGGTCGTATTTGCAAATACGACCTCCTTCCCTGATAACTCTGAGTTTGATAAATAGAGTTACCTCTGCGTATAAGACCTCATGAGAACCAATTGACTCACATGACGTATGTACTGCGCTATAACTGGGAGAAATATTAGCCTATTCGAAAGCCATTACCGAAAGCATTGGAGTGCAATATGACAAGTGCACAACTGGTTCCTTCGAAGTGAATTAGGAGGCTTTGGTCTCGAAAAATCCGTGGAAGAGTAGCGCCACCGTGGCTTGGCGTAGCTTCGCGGAGGGCGGCCAAAGCCATTGCAGCAGTGATATAACTTTGGTGAATAATTTTTGTCCGATTCAAAATGAATCTGACTTTTTACAAGTGTCATTCCGAGAAAACCAAACAAATCGAAGAAAGGCTGTTTGAAGAAGGACACTTATGGAATAACAGCCGCAGCAGAAATCACACCCAAGGTACTTCACCATCGGAACAAAGTACCGCGCTCGTCATGCACGGATACATGCAAAGGTGGACGAGACAGGCAAGGTGAATTTGCTAGATTCCAATTCAACCTGTGTCCAAGTGAAAAAGACTTCCTATACCTAAATAATCATCTGACTGTACCGACTCGTCTCATGGTAAGACAATAAAAACACCAAATCGTGCGGCCCGACGGACTGAAAGCGTATTACGAAGACCTGTCAGAATTCGAAATGCTGGATCACAGCAGCCCTTCCAGTCGTGATGTCCGCGAAAGTAGGAGCTTTTATCTACGATCAAAATTTGCAGCAAGACCTGCTTTTTTATCCTAACAGCAACCTGCAAAGCTAACGCGCTGGAATTTGAGAAATCTCTCCAATTAAGCTTCTGCCTATCCTGTTTCTTCTTCGGCGGACGTCTTCGTCGTGCGACGGCCATTAGTGGCTTTTACAGAATGACTAAACATCCTCAGTGTGAGCGCCACATACGAATGTGCAAATGTTTGGGGAAGAAGTTGCATAAAGAGTCGAGCTCAAGAACGAAACCGCATAAGGAACTTCCGGGTACTCTCCGCAACTTTACGAAAGCCTCTACCTTTTCTGGATTACAGAAGCATTTTTATACTGAATACAAGGTTACTGGGTGAAACTGGAAGTGAACCCCTTCGATTAAGGAGTCTTTAACGGAAGTTTCTGTTCGGTCGGTGGAGGGGTGCAGGACCCCTGTTTGCTATACCCCAGCACAACTCCCTCCCTCCTCCTTATTCGGCGAAAACTTTAGGAAAACCATTTTCTTATAGTTGATCGAAGGTGAAATCTTGGGGGAACTCGATAAAACCGCTGTTAGGTGGAGATGTAGCTCCAGGAGAAAATCCGAGGAAGAGGTTCGCATTCTGGGCTCAAGGTATGTCCTAGCGTTGGGAAGGGAGTTCTCGCTTCAACGCCAGGACGTGTCCTGCTTGACAAGGACCTCATTTCGAGAGTCAATAACCAGTGAACTGATTCTGTTAACACATATATGAGGTTTTGTTCTTATCCAGGTGAAGTGCAGAGTTCTTCAAGTCATTCCGTCAAACCCACCCCATTTCAAATTCGCACGAACGCTAAAGACAGCTGCCGGACGACACAACAAGATACTAGACGACGCCGGAACTTGCGCCAGCGTCAGACATTGTCCCTAATTGGTACGTTTGCGGAATCAAAGAACAAGGCATACGTCCTGTGGTGCTCAGGCTGCGAATGTGTAGGCCATACGATCAAGTCGAGACGGTCTCTCGTCTTTTGCAATTGAGGGCCCATATAATCTATTGGACGCGCTAACGGAGTGCGATGTGAACAAACGCAAAGTAAATCGATCCGACCATCCGATCAAAGCAATAATTGAACTTATACCGTACGGATAACTACCCGTCGAGAGCCAAACAGAACATCTTGCGTCTCCGTGGAAGCGACCACGACCGCACCTAGCGCCTGCTCGCGAAACTGGTGTGTTGAGATAGAACATTTATAGGACCAGGAACAAATCGAGGGCAGCAAACCCAGCTTGTTTATAGTGCCACAGAAGCCACGCACAGCGTTCAATTTGAAATGTTCCCCCCAGCTTCGTTCTGGCATGATACCCTCCACTACAAGGACTGGAAGGATGCCGTAAATACAGCACAGGGCCGCAGCTCGACAAACTAGAGGCAAGCACGCTGCTTGCTCCGTCCAGGAGGATACCGCCCCGCACATCTGGCTGCCACAACCCCCAACGTTCATTTTTAGCTATTGCCTTATGATGCGATTGCTCCGCTACTAATTCTCTCATTTCCGAAAGGTGAGAGTGAGGTGATAGGGAGAAAGAGCTCGCACGAACAAGAGGGAACTCGTCCAACCACGCCCCTTCCGCCTTGTGTATACTGTAATTCGCTGGTTGGGCGCGTCAGGCGAGATGATTTTGGCGCGGTGCCAAACCCGTTCTCCACCAGTTGTTAAAGCGAGCAAGTGATATGACTGTATCATATCGTTCGTATTACTCGTTTTCTACCACTTTTTGTCGCATGCGCGCTTCAACAAGAAGGCAGAGAACGGCTTTGACGGGGTGACACACTCATACTGCCTGACACGCCCAACCGTCCGCAATGAACTAGAGCACGAATACGAAATAGAGCACGAATATGTGCCACCACTGTTCGGCACGAAATTCTACATTGGACACTTCCCATGAATTTTTTTTTAATTTTTCCCAATTGTTATTATTATCTGTTATCACTTGTGATCACTTATTATTATTATTAACTGAGCCGCTTAATTCATCATTTCTGAACGACTCAGCTTTTAAGCGTTGGTGGGTGACATTTCCTACTTACAAGCATTGAGTATGTCAGAGTCTAACTACGATTTGTGCAACATACAAAAAATATGAAGGAAGAGATCAGAAAATCACCTGCCAGTGCGTTCATTTGGCTCATTTGCAGCATGGTCGTGAGATAATCAGCTGTGGTCTGAGCCGTTATGGCAGGAGCGGCACCGCAGGGTATTGTATGTGCAAGAGGAGAGTACCTATAAGGTCACATAAATGAACTGCCAACAAAACAATCCAGAGAGAGTAACGATTTACATACCTATATTTTGCGGTGAGAGGAGCATGATGTATCGGTCCGATAGCGGATCGAAGGGGTGCGGCTGCTCCCAATAATGAAAGCGGTACTAGATTAGAAGCTGCTACTTGTTGAGCTGCCTCGAGCTGAAAATTTGATCAATCAGTTACATGGGAAAAAAAGTATGGAAACGACTAAAACCAAACGAACAGGTAAAAAAGGAAGCGGAAACAGCACTTCGAAGAAAGCTTTCTCAGAAAATCGCCACTTCAGCGTCTGTTTCCACCAGTCCGTTTACCGATAGAGTTGCTTAATCTCACAGCCTCACCTCTTGTAGAGCCGTTTTGGCGCTGCTACTGGCAGGATTATTAGCGAATTTCACCGTAATTTGGTCCACACAACCGGCTGGTATAGTGCCATTCAAAGTTTGTATGGCGAGCTCAGCCTCTTCCTTCTTGTCGAATCGAACAAAGCCAACACCTTTCGACAGTCCTGACATTAAAATCATTGAGTTAGGTCGTTCAAAAAATATTCTGCCAGAAATCTCGACAGGCACAGCAATATTAACAAATGGTACATATTACTATTACATAGAAACCCTTGAATAGTGTTCGATTTTCTAATTTGGGCTGTATGAAGTGCTTGTTTTTGATGTGTACCTTAATCCGTATACTTATGTACTTATTCTACTATTCGCTGAGGAAGGACCATGTACCGAAATATTCAAAAGAGAAAAATTACAAGAAATTTGAGCTTTGTCTGGCCATTAGTTTTTCTGCAACAAACTTTTGGTGTCTTTTATTTACAAAATATCCAGAATGCAGATAGTTAGGGCCTACTAGCTCTAGAGGGGGGGGGCCTTTTCGCTAAACTGGCTTCTTCAGTCGCCTCTGAAACCTGCTATCACATGTCAAGTCATGAACTAGAACACACTTTCTCTTCGATAACCTGTAACCTATGTGAACTAACTGTTACCGTATGGGCTTCACTAAGTATGACAGTATTAGGCAGCGTTCAGATTTTGCGACGGCATCGCTTCGGTCGCGCGTTCGACGCGATCGATGCAGTCGAAAGCATGCGCATCGATCGTTGTCGCGCGACCGAAGCGCTGCCGTCGCGAAGTCTGAACGCTGCCTTAACTGGACACGAATCTACAGGTTTTCACATGGTGGCTTGAACAAGCTGCACTGAGTATCACCTGGTAGTATTACAGGGGTTACTGATTCCCCCCCCCCCGTCCCCTCCGTCCCCTCCTCCCTCACAACGATGGGAGCTGGCATGTTACTTCCCTGCCCTTCCTGCCCCATGAGGCGAACAGCGCCGAGGCTATACCAGCGGATGAAAGTAAGTAGCCTTTATATACTCGTAAGAAAGAGTGATGAGTAAGCATCATGGAGAGAACCTTTCACCAAATATAGTCACTTAACAAGATGTTGCCATTTTCAAAATTTCAAAGCCATTCA